AATAGACACTAACATCACATTCCACAAGTAAGTAATGCGTTTCAACTCATATTTTCATGTAATTATTCACTAAAACAGAAAAATAATTTCGCGGCAACAAGATACGAAAGTGTTGCAAAGTAACGAATTTTTTTTTCTCCCCATTTTGCTATTCTGTATCAAAATAATTATATTACGTAAATTTTAGTGGTGCCTGTAATTTCGATTTATTTGCGCATCTTGAACTAATATTTACTTGAATAAACATTAAATGTTTTCGTTAACTCCTGTAAGTGATTGGGACACTTAATTATTTTATAATACTTTTAACGGCTGTGCGTTCATGCTTTATTGAATAATTATTTATTTTAATTTTATTTGAATTGGAGCACATATTGCAACAAATTTACAGTATATATTTGTTTCTACTATAGTGTTGGCACCACCAGTACAACTTTGATAGCTTATTATATGTCTTTCTTTTCGTAACTCAAGCGAAATATTTTATATTGAAATATTTTATTTTCTTAAAAGGGGAGCATTCTTAAGCGATTTTTTAATCTATTGTAACAGTTATTTTCTTTAATGTTTGCTTATGGCATTTTCGGTTTTAGGTTTCGAATATGGCACTTATTTCTAAACCAAGATGGCGGGCGCGATTTTTCGAATAATGGCAAGTTGGGTATCGTTTTCGAGATGTTTGGGAATGTTTAATACAAATATGGCACTCATTTCTAAATCCAAGATGGCAAACACGACAGTTCAAACAAAAGCAATATTCGTAATGAGCACTCCCAAATACCTCGAAAACGATACCCAACTTGCCATTATTTGAAAAATGGTGCCCGCCATCTTGGATTTACAAATAGTGCCATATTCACATTGAGAATCCCCAAATACCTCGAAAATGATACCCACATAGCATTTTTTTGAAAAAATCGGTCCCGCCATCTTGGATTTAGAAATGAGTGCCATATTCGTAATGAGCACCCCCAAGTACCTCGAAAATGATACCCATATTGCATTTATTTGAAAACTCGTGTCCGCCATCTTGGATTCAGAAATGAGTGCCATATTCGTAATGAGCATCCCCAAATACCTCGAAAAGGATACCCATATAGCATATTTTGAAAAATCGTGTCCGCCAACTTGGATTTACAAATAAGTGCTATATTCGTTTTTCATCGACAAAACCGAGCATATCTGTAGGCACCTGATCGACATTGTCGATCGACAAAATCGAGCACATCTGTAGGCACCTAATCGACAATGTCGGGCAAATCTGTAGGCACCTTTAACTTAATGATGAGTTAAGCAAGATACAATTTCCCCACTTTTGAGGGAAATGTTATTCCATGGCATCATTATTTGTATATTTGTGTGCGTGCCGACGAGCGTAGTTACAAGTTGCTTACGCCTACATGAATTTGGTTTTTGCCTCACTTGTGACAGTTCGTTTGATATGAAACTATCATTCTATGCGTTATTATTCTAAGATTAGAGAAATGAGGCGGTCGCTCGGTGTTTAAAATTTACATTCTTTAACGAGACCAAATGACGGGACGAACAAGTCGCCCACCTGGTGGTAAGTGACACGCCTGTCCATGACAGTTGCAATACCACCCAGTGCTTTAAATCACAAAGATCTGAAGAGCCCCACCGGTAACCTATCACAAACACGAATTTCTTCCTTCCGAATTTCATTAGTCCGAACACGGTTCGACTTTTTATCATTAGTGCGATGACAGTTTTGGTATAAATTTGTAATACAGAAATAGCATGTGTAAAGCTGAAGTAGCGTTTGTCCGTAAAACTAATAATTATTATTTTGGCAGAATTTTGCTTGATCTAGCGATATTTGTTATACTGTCTGTTTTCCATGTAATTTAAATACCTGAAAATTCGTTTAGACAAAATTATTCTTAGATAAAATTCTACCTACCTAAAATAGACGTACGCAAGAATTTTAAGTATGTCCTTTTCATAACTTCGTAACTAAATTTACACATTTTGAATAAAATATTTCTTTGTCTTTATTACAATTTTAATTTTAGATTACATTTTTGGGGATTGTTGTTGCTCGCTTCCATAGGTTTACCCTCGAGACCCTACAAGTGACACCTGAGTGAATTCATTAATTCAAAGATCGAATAGGTACTTAGACAAAAATTCCCTCGATCCGGCTGGAATGGATTTTAGTAGCAGTAGAGCTCCTTGTGAAAGAGCTCGTCCAGGGAAGTACTGCCACCTTACCTATTTCTGCCGCCAAGCAGTAATGGTCACATTACTGTGTTCCGGTTGTGAAGGGTAAGGGTGCTGGTGAAATTACAGGCACATGAGACTTGTCAACTTATGTCTCAGGGTGACGGGCGCAGTGGCAGTGCCCCCAAGATCTTTGTAATTTAAAGCTCTTGGTGGCACTGCAACTGTTATGGGCAGGCGTGTAGCTTACCATCAGGCACACGACTTGTTCGTCCCGTTACTTAATGTCATAAAAAAAAAAAAAAAAAAAAAAAAAGAATCAAACCAACGCCTTCTAGCAAACCGTGCTACTACTACGCTATGCCAATTAAGTCACGGAACGAACCAGCAAACTTTACGAATTTTTCTGTGCTTGCTGCAGATCTTTCTTTTGGTTTTGAACTACATTTACAATACATTTCTATTTCATAATCATGATTATGGAGTATCCATAATCAAGATAACAATCCTCGATACTGATGTAAAATGATGTCTATGCGTTATTATTCTAAGTGGTAATCTATGTGTGTGCCCATGGCACCCGCGATACTGGGCTTCTCTATTGCGGGGCTATGAAAAAAAAAACAACAAAAAAATTGCATATTTACGCTACAAGTGTTATTATTACTCACAGTCCACTGTGCAGAGCCTGCATGAGTGTGTTATGTATCCAGATTTGCATAACACACATACCTAAAACTCAACTCAGTTCAATGCACTTGCATTCGCGCACCCCGGAACGCGCGCCCCGTGCATTGCAACGTGACCGATGCAAAACTCGTCATTTTAATTATAATTATGAGACACTTTTCGGCCTAACGTTCCTAACATCGGACGTAGACTAAATTCCTTTAGTTAAGATCTTTTTTCGTATAAGTACTTTTAGACCTAACGTACCTAACTTCGGACGTTCTTAAAATTATTTAGTTTAAGAAATACCTTTGTGGAAATTTAATATAGTTATTCATCATATTTTCTCGTCTTTACTTCATCTCCACTGCGGCCACCCTATATAATTAGTGTAAAAGAGAGTGGTTGTGGTTATGTTGTGTTATATTATTCTTGATAAATATCGAACAAACAATCCACAATATTGGATCATACGTTAGTAGGCTCCAATTCTCCCACGCTCCCCTACGTGCTAAGGACAATGTGAATGGCATGGCGGAAATTAAATCGTGTCGTGATGCTTAATCTGTTTATTACAATTTGTACCAATTAATTCTCAAGGAATGTAGTCATTAAGTAGTATCTTACAATAAAATAAATTAACGTACGTGTTGAACGAGGCAGGGAGTCAGAGAAGAAGTGAAAGAGCGAAATTGATTTATTTTAAGCCATAGCTGTAACAGGTACCGTTCATTATCCTCCTAGCACTTCCCCTCACACATTAGATTATTTTACAAAACAACATGCTAACTGTAAACTCTATATAGAAATATATCTACATATAACCAGAAACACACTTTATATTCAAGTTATTGCATTAACTCTACACATATTCATATCATGAATAAAATGCTTGTTTCTTAGAATTAAGAGGTTTGATAAGTACACCAGCAGTCTTTTCTTCATTTTGCAAGTACTTAACAGCGATAACATCATCCTTAATTAAGTCCTTAACCATTACATTCATGATACATTTAGCTCATTTAATACAGATTGCCTAGATATACCAAATACATTATTATTGAAAACTCGCGTAAGTCCAATTTTGCTTGACATGTTTCAAACCAGTATCGCGTTCCTTAATCATGAGCTTCCACGGCAGAGACTTGACGTAAACTGCACCGCTGTCTAGCCGACAACCTCGCTGCTCTCCGGTCCTGCACCTCTGTCCTCGGTCTCCAACATTCGAGGACAGAGGCCTCCAACACCGTGCCATCATCTTCTCCTATTCCCATCTAAATACTACATCACTCACTCTATGAGACTACACTCTAACACTTTCTTTTATTTATGCAAATGTATTGTTTTATCGTGTAACTCTCTACCTTTTTAATTTCGTACCCTTTTACCACTCCAAAAGCAATGTGTCCCGCCTACTGCCACTTAAGTTTTGCAATTCTTAGTTGTCACCAAATGATACAACAATATAACTGAATTACAGCTTTAGTTTACCAAATTTTTATTTCGGTAAATACTATTACGACTTTTCGAAGCCTGGTTAGTTTTTACTAAGACCGCGGACGGCGATCGTTTGAAAATTGAACGAACTAGCAGTTGGTACCCATTTGGAAAAAAGGACAAATTTGGACAAAAGTATCTCAATTCGTTCGATGACATCAGTTCTACAGAACAAATGAGACATAGAACAAAAAATCCAAATGAACCTTGAAAATTAGTGATGCACACAAACACGGACGTACTCCAAAGTAATATTGCTTAGCGTAGAAACATCTACAGAACATCGAACGGACGTCTGTGTCGCTACTTGCTATTTGGAATTCTGCTCAGTTTTTTAACAAATAAAAATAGAAAACAGTGTCATTAGTGACTAAAACATACATAGATTATAGTATTAAACTTCAGTGTTCACGTTAAAATATAAAGTGCGTTAAAGTGTGGTGAATTAGTGCAATAAAACAGCTTTTAAATCAGTAATCCACCAAATTTAATAGACACATAAGGTACGACACAAAAACAATTCAAATAAATACCGGCAACTATAATAAACATCACATCGACTTAATTAAGTGAAGCGACCCCTTTCGGAAATCCGTCGCACTCATTAGTGAGGCCCATACCTTAAATCATAGTGCAATTTCTTTGCGATCAATATGGTAGCCAAATGCAGTGCATGCTGTAAATTTATGTCGTCGCTAGAGGGCGCCTGTGTCGACTGTCATACATGTAAACGAGCATATCATAGGGACTGCGTAGGGGTACTTAAAAATAGGTCGGTGCCGTCATCTTGGGTCTGCCCGGACTGCAAGGCCAAGTTGCCCAGAAGCAACCAGGATGACACTCCGTTAAAGACACGGGCCCCTTCCTGTAGCTCTCCAGAAACTCTGAACCAAGAATCCTTACTGACTAAGACTGACGGGAACATAGAGGCGAATCTTGTAGACGAACTCCGCGCATTTCGTTTAGAAATGAGCCAAACCAGGGAGGAACTTATAGGCTTGCGTCAGGACTTGTATGAGCTGCGGTCGACCGTTCGCTCCTGTGAGAACCGTCTGAATAAAGTAGAAGAGACGGTACAAACACTTTTGGAGGCGCAGGCTAGTGGTTCTGGAAGTGATTCTGGCATAATTAAGGTAGTTGAGGCGCTGGAAGCGAATGTAGCTAGGCTACAGAATGACCTAAACGACCGCGATCAGGAGTTACTGGCCAACGAACTAGAATTTAGCGGCCTGCCTGAAGAGATTGCAGAAAATCCAATGCATCTCGCGTTGGCATGTGCTGCCAAGCTCGGCGTACCGCTGGAGGAGCGCGATGTGGTAAGTTGCGCGCGCGCTGGTGCTCTGAGGCGCGAGGTGGGCGCGCGTCCCCGGCCGCTGGCACTACGGCTAGCGCGTCGCGACACACGTGAGGCCTTGCTGCGCGCTGCGCGCGTGCGTCGTCACGTTACTACAGAGGGTCTGGGCCAGAAGAGCGAACCGCGGCCTTTCTATGTTAACGAACGGTTAACAAAGTTGAACCGGCACCTCTTCTATAGGTCGAGGCAAATAGGTAGTCGTCTACAATGGAGGTACATTTGGACCAAAGATGGCAGAATTTATGCGAGGAGGGATACCGGAGCCCCGGCTCATCGAATTCGCAGTGAAGCGGATCTGCTGAAAACTTTTGGGCCCGACGGCGTTCGTTCACAGACAGCAGAATCCTAAAAGAATTAGGGACTTATTTGTTACTTTTAATTAAATTAATAACACTAAATTTAGTAAAAATTTCAATGTACTGGCATATGTGTGGCAGTGGTTTAGTCGCAAGGCATTACAAGGTTCTCAACATTTATACCATTATTCTCATATTTTTACACTCGACCACAATTATTTATATTATTGGTTATAAATCGATACATATACAAACAAAACACATTGTTACACACACTTACTATATACAGGATTTAAACGAACACAACACTCAACAGGCATTTCACAAAAATAAAGTAAACAAACAGGTTAACTATCAAAATGGATTAGTACGATTCTTAAAGATAAGCTACCAACTTGTATTTATAACTTTATATACATGTTATCATCCATATATCATGGCGTTATATTATTGTTACTTTGATATTGTCCACAAAGTGCTAATCATAAATAATTTGTTTAATTGTAATTTTAGTGTATATTCGTATTCAAATTTAATTTAAAAAGTAAACTTAAGTTAGGATTACTAAATGTGGGTTCATTAGGCACACGTCATGATGAATTTCTGGTTGCAATGGAACGACACGATGTTGATATTATGGCCATTAACGAGACTTGGTTGAGAGAAGGCGAAGACGGTCGAGCACCCTCGGTGCCTGGTTACCGGCTACGTCATATTCCTCGCCCTGCCGCCGTGCGTTCGCGCGGTGGTGGGGTCGGCTTCTACATACGACAGGGCATCGCGGTCCGTATATTGCCTCATCCGCCGGCTCCGCTCGTAGAACAAATGTGGCTGTGTTTGAATATTGCTGGCATGAAGCTACTGATAGGGACAGCGTACAGACCCCCGTGGCTAAATGTAGACACTTTTATAGACGCATTGGCTGAGAGTCTGGGCTGTTTCTCATGGTGCAACAAAGTAGTTCTGTTAGGAGATTTTAATGTTGATTTATTGCACCAATCACATATCGATACCAAAAAGATTACATATTTTCTAACGTGTCATACATTGAAACAATGTGTGTCCGAACCCACTCATTTCACAGAGTATAGTGAAACTCTTATTGATACCATTAGTACCGACGTGGATAATACTGTGGTACGAGTCGAATACATACAAGCGCTGAGTCACCATGCTTTTATTACATGCCTCTTAAATGTTGTGAAGTCGAAGCCAGCATCAACAAAGATAATTCGCAGAAACTTGCAAGGTATTAACAGTAAACAATTTGAACTAGATCTTAATGCAATAGACTGGATGAGTATAAGCAATTTAGGTGATGTTGATCATATGGTGGGGCAATTCAATGAACGATTAGTGGCGTTGTTTGACATACATGCACCACTCCGAGTGTGGCATACTAAGCATCACCAGTATCCGTGGATTACATATAATGTAAAGCAGCTGATGAAGCGTAGAGATGAAGCCCATGTTGTAGCACGCAAAAACGGTAAAGATTCGCAAAATACTTACTATAAGGAACTCAAAAAAGCTGTAAATGATGTGTTGCATAGTGAAAAAAAAGCTTATTACGATCATTACATTAATAATCAGAGAGATTGCCGGGTCTTATGGAAACATATTAAAAGAAATATTAGGATAAATTGTAAACAAGAGCTTCCTGTAAATATTTATAATGAACCCAATTTAATAAATGATCATTTTTTGAATCTACCCGGTAATGCACAAGCCGCTTTAACAGACATGACATTTTTTGAACAAAACTGTAACGTTTCTGAAAAATTCGTACTGGAGAGAGTAGAAGAAATTGAGGTTCTCCAAACTATGCGTTCGTTGAAATCAAAGGCGGTTGGTCTTGATGGTATTTCGTCAGACATGTTGCTGTTGTCATTGCCCACCACATTATCCGTTGTAACAGCTATGGTAAACAAATCCATTGAAACGAGTACGTTTCCAGCGGACTGGCGGAATGCAGTAATACGGCCTATCCCGAAAATTAATAATCCAACCACCTTACAAGATATTCGACCAATAAACATACTGCCATGCATGTCAAAGGTTTTGGAAAAGATCGTGGTGAAACAATTGACAAACTTTTTAGAAAAGAATAAAATTCTTCCTACTACACAATCTGGTTTTAGGAAAAAGCATAGCACAGCAACTGCCATGGTCCACGTTGTTGATGATATCTTAACTGCTCAAGACAGTGGACAGGGGACCTTGTTGACACTGTTAGATTTTTCCAGAGCCTTTGACTGCATAAATGTCAACTTACTGTTATCAAAGCTTCATTATTACGGGTTTAGTGAGTCTACCGTTAAATGGTTTGACAGCTATCTAAAGAATCGATTTCAGTGCGTAGAACTGTCAAACCAGAGCGGATCAAAATTACTATCGGAGTCACGTGACGTCACACGAGGAGTGCCTCAAGGCTCAATTTTGGGTCCGATCCTTTTTATTATCTACAGTGCCGATGTGGTGCAACATATTAAACACTGTAGATATCATATTTATGCTGACGATATACAGGTTTACATTTCATGTAAACCATGTGATGTTCGTACAGCTGCGGATAAGTTAAACGAAGACTTAGAACGTGTAGCCCTTTGGGCTGAATCAAATGCGTTAGTACTAAATGGCAATAAATCCAAATACATGATTTTCGGTACAAGAAACCAAATAGCAAAAATCGTAGATCACGGAGTTATTCTGGCCATTAGGGGTGAGGTCATTGCACGAGTAAGTGAGGCTCGTAACCTTGGTCTCGTTATGGACGAACATCTTCGCTTCGAAAATCATGTACTGGGAACGGTTCGAAATTGTTTTTATAGATTAAAGATATTGTATAACATTAGGAATTATCTAACAGTACAAACGCGTGTTAAATTATGTGACTCGTTGGTTTTATCTAAGTTTAACTATATGGACGTTGTTTACGGGCCGCGTCTACTAGCGCATACGCAGAAGCAAATTCAACGAGTGCAGAATGCATGTGCAAGGTTCTGCTTTAATGTACCACCACGCATGCACGTAACTCCTTATATTAACGAAGCAAATATTTTAAAGATGAGAGCGCGGAGAGATTTACATTTGGCAACTTTGTTGTTTGGCGTTATCAAATACGAGGTTCCGCCTTATCTGGCTAAAAAGTTGGTATGGTCACGCGACGTAAAAACCTCCTTCACCAGAACGTTGAACTGGACGATGGTAGTACCACGCCACCATACCGCTGCATTCCGTGGCAGTTTCAAGTTCACCGCAGCGAAGATATGGAACGTCCTGTTGCCTCCGCCACTTCGTAGTCTGAAATCAGTGCACACTTTTAAAATCAATTATAGAAAATATCTCTTGGATAACCAAAAAAGAACAGTGTGATTTCACTTGTGCACTTACCGCGCTGGTTTCGACTCATAGCATTGGTGTACGGCGGCCGATATCTTCATTGTTATCGCTGCGGTTTTCGTCATAGGGCAGTTGAGGCATGCTCCTTGAAATTTATTCAATGATTATTAATTATTTTATTTTTATTTTTTAATATTTTTTATATATAATCCAATCTAATTAATCTGATGTTTTGATTATTTGTTAATTTAATGATCATGTTCCATCATTTATGTTTGTATTTATAATATAAATTTATAAGAGCTCGATATTATACAATACTTACAAAATACTTTAGAAATATACAATACTTTAGAAATACACTAGTAATAGCTCTAATCGTAATAATACGTACCGTTATGGTGTAGGACACTGCGTGTTTCATTCTGTAAACAAAACAACGGAGCGAACTGCGTTGTGCTGGCTGTCGAATAGCGTCCCCTCCCCCTTACTTCTCCCCGCGCACCTTTCGTCACAATCCGACTCGGACGAGGATCGAGAATAATTTTATTTGTTAGATAATTACGTTACCACACTATAAACACACACAGAGGGTATATTCATATTTTATATATATATTTTTGTTATATTTATGTAGATTTAATATAATATAACACACACAGCAGTAACACAATGCACAAAATACACTTACATAGACAAATATTTAAGTAGGTAGTTTATTTTATTTTGCGACACACACGTCCGTCACTCATCTCGGATCAGGGCTCATTGAAAACCAGCGCCACAGTCAATTCTGGCTGTGGTAAAAGCTGAATGTAGTCCTTTTGCGTACGCCACGACTGCACAAATGACTGAACAATTTGTTGTTATTTTGCTTTTTTTTTTTTTTTTCCTTTTTTGTTTGTTTTGATAATTTTAATGTTTTCTTTTTTCATTTGTTTGTTTTACGTATGTCTATTTTGTTTATTAATTATTATTACTGTTATTATTTTTAATTTTAATGTTCATCGTACTGTGTTATAATTCATTTTTTTTTGTATCATGTGTTGTGGCGTCGCAATAAATGTCTATTCTATTCTATTCTATTCTATTCTATTCTAATTACTCTCTAGTCGAGTACAGTACTTCAATAGCAGTAGAGCTTCTCGTGAAAGAGTTTATCTGTACTGTCTCCTTACCTATTTCTGCCACCAAGTGACGGGACGAATATAAGTCGTGTGCCTGGTAGTAATCGACACGCCTGTCTGTAACAGTCGCGCTTCCCGTCGTCGAGCTTTAAATCTCAAAGATCTGAGAGGCACTGCCACTGCGCCTAATAAAAAATAAAAATAGGTAAGGTGGCAGTACTACCCTGGACGAACTCTTTCACAAGGAGCTCTACTGCTACAAAAATTATTGAATATTACACTGTAATGATTATTACATTGTTGCGGTTTTGCAGGTTAAGGCTGCTGGTGAAATTATAAGCACAAGAGACTTGTCAACTTATGTCTCAGGTGACGGGCGCAGTAGCAGTGTGTCACAAATATTTGCGATTTGAAGCCCTGAGTAGCATTGCAACTGCTATGTATAACTGTGTTGCTTACCACCAAGGGCTCGTCTAGTTCGTTCCGTTACTTGGTATTATAAAAAAATCGAAATATTAAGAATTTATATTAAATTATGAGAAAAATTCATTAATGCGTACTAGGTATTCTAGCAATAAACATGG